TAATAATAATAATAATAATAATAATAAAGAAAAAGAAGGAGAAGAAGAAGAAGAAGATGAGAACTTTGAGATGGAATATTAATGTAACGATTAAACAATGATAATAACAAATGTCAAGGTTAGAGGTTCCACTAATGGTATATCAAACAAGTATAGTATAAACTCTTATTATTGAATTGGAAACCACACACAAAGGAGGTTCCAATCAGATTATATATTGTTAACATGATTACATTAGTCATCTTATTCAATTAATGCTAATACTTGTAAATCTCGTCAAGCATTCATGATTATAACTTATGTTAACAACAAATCAAGTTCCTTTCATAGCTCAGGTGTCGGTTATACCATACATTATGGGCTATGAAAGTGCCAAGCATTTGTTGTACCAAGTGTTATACAACATAAATCAAGATTAGTTATTTAACAAGCAAAGTATTAAAGAGTGAACAAGATAACAAATATAAAACATGTTAGTATCAAACATTAAAGTCCATATTAAGTTTACACTATACTTATTCTTACACCATTAGTGTAACCTTTTCACCTTGACATAATAAACTTAGCTAGACATAATGAAAGAAAGAAAAATAAATAAACAAAATAAGAACATAAATAAGATAAGAGTTAACTAAGTAAAGGAAAGGAAATGAAAGGCATAAACTTAATATTAATGAAAGCAAAGCATAAACATTACAAAAAATACAAAGAGAGAAAGGAAGAGCATGATCTTGATCTGGAAACCAAGATGCCTAAATGCATGGCAAATGCCTCCTTTTATAGGCCAAAATTGGGTACTATTGATTTGATGACTAATTGATGAGTGGGTGGCCAACTCTTGACTTGGTGACAATCCTTATCTTCTCTTGTCTGCCCAAAACATTATTGATAACTCTAGATATTGTCTCAGCTTTCTTGTGTAAAACATTCAGCTCATTTCGACTTCTAGAACTCCAGATATGGTCAAAATACTGAACAGTGTTCGGGCTGGAGGATAGATTCGGGCTTCTTTGTTGTTGCTATAATTTGGACTTGAAAATGGCCTTTTTAGATCTTGGGCTCCATATGAAAGCTATCGGCCTATGTCTTACCTTTCCATCCATATAAAGTAGACCTAAATCTAAGATCTCTAACGCCAGATATGACTCAATTACCGAACAGTGTTCTGGTTTGGATTGCACCGACATCTCTTTTCTAATTTTGGTCATCTCTTTGCCCTTGCAATTTAAGTTCTTAAAGTCATCAATCAATCCCTTCATTTATGTGATAGGCCTTCATTTAAAATGAACATTTACCATAAATTAAAGATATCTTATATTATTAGATATATTATTATAAAACATGTTTTAGTTAAGGAGTTATTGATACTTTAAGTGCAAAATGATGATATAAAGCCATGGTAAAAATTCACTTTTAAGTACTAATCAATAACCTAGAAAAATAGTCAATAAAAAATACAGCTAACCATTGGTAGGGTATACTAGGGTGATATCTTTTCATTTTACAACTAGTTTCATTACTCATATTCTTACAGACTATTAGGTTTTCTAGTGACCATGATATTAAATGTCGATTTCTTCAAAATTATAATTTTATAATTAATCTCAAAACCCTTCAATTTAAGAGGCAGACCTACAATTCAACACTGTGTACGCCCCCAACAGGATGAGAACTCCATTGGGAACTAGTCTAATTAGATTGAGCTTTATGGATTTTTTTATTTTATGATTGTTTGCTTGCTTATTTTTGTTGGTCTATGTATTTAATTTTAGTATGTATTTTTTTAACATATTCCTCATGCATAAGTATATCGAGTATGAATTAATTCCTTCATGAATTTTAATTTTAAGAATAAATCTAATTTTAGATTAGGTAAGGAAGTATCAGTTTGTCTCATGATGTTTAATCAAAGTTTAGATTTATGAACTCCAATACATAATAATAAAGGTCATGCTATTCCCTAATTATTTCTTGTAAACTCCAATACTTACTTATGATATTTTTAAATCAATGGTACCGATAAGGTTTTAAATACGTTTTGCTTAAGGATTAGATTTTTCTTGAGACAAAAGTGATGAGTGGTTAAGTGTTCTTTAACTTGTCTCGTTAATTGTGGTGTTTTGCAGCTCTTTACACAAAAATGTGAATTCATTAATATTGAACCTGGTGTTTATATGAATCATTATACAAGGTCCTTTCGACCGATGCATGCCCTATATACTGAAGCTTTAATCCATTGTTAACTATAAAGGATTTATTCTCTTCGATTAAACTGTAAAGATGGTGAAGCCCTCTTTTTGTAAAAATAGTAAGGTGACAAAGGGCGTGTAGCACTGGTTGCATTACATTCCCAGAATCAAGAACAATATACCAAACCAAGCCTCAATTATTATCACTACTCTACTCCAATTCTCTTTTCTTTTTTGTGAAGATGATGTAAAAAGGAAAGGAGGTAAAAACTTAATGAAACAAACCACAATAATCTCAAATTAGAAGATGAACATTAAGGAAAATAACTAATCCTTTCATTAAAAAGAAAATATGCAATCCAAAACCAAGACCCCACACTACCCTTCCTTCTTTTCATAGCAACCCCCATGAAAGAAAGTTCAAGTTTCTTTGCTTTCCTTTCAAGCTTGAAGTTCTCATCTATCATGACCCGAATCCCAAATCCATAACTGATACGTGAGCAAGGTTCCTCTCTAAGGTTCTATACCTATATGAACATAAACTTACATACGAACTTATCTTTCAAATAACTTAATTAGAGTTCAACGCAGCACTAATAACAAAATTAATTTCATAACATAATTTGATTATCTTAATACAAAAGTTAATATAATTTTATAGGTGTAGAACACTAACTAGACATAAAAAAAAGTACAAATTATAACCAAAAGAGCAGGTTTTAAAAGTCCAACAAAATGACCTGTTAACGAGCTAAAAGCCTAAAAAGATAAGTAACAAGAGGGTGAGTTCAACAACTCAGTAAGTAAATAACGTTCAATATATACACACGAGGTAATATAACAATGATGAATATATACACAATTATAGCTCTAGATTCTTATAGGAAGGTTTCTCAAAGAGACCATAACAAGAATATCATAAAATAAAACTCGTCAGAAAATCAAAATGCAATGAGCATGAGACTTTGTATTGTGGGATGATCAATCTATACAGGTTGGTGACTCCCTCAACTAACTAGGGTTCAAATACGATGTGCACAAAAACTAACTCTACCCTGTTAGTATGAGAATTCTAACTAATATACTATAAGTTCATAATTATAATCAAATAAATATATTCATATCTTAAGGCTCAACTCATGAAATCAATCAAATGAGAAGCTATCAATTTAGAAGTCAATTTAAAATATATATTAGTTCATATCAAGAATTCAGATTCAATAATTGATCATGTTTTATTGTAATAAGAATAATAATCAACATATATATATATATATATATATATATATATCAAGAAGCATAATCCAACTCATATTAACAGATTAAATATTTATAATATTTCTTATGCATATGAAAAATTATTCACTCACTTGACTCAAAAGTAAACAACACTCAAAAGCAGATATAAAAGGAAATCCTACTTATATCCTGCTGATAAAATATCAAGATTATCTAAATACAAAGAAGTCATATTCAATAATGACTCAAAAAAAAATATAACCTATTATTTAATACACTTATCTAAGGGTATATTCCATAACATGTCATGTTTTTAGACTAAACTAATTATTTTTCTAAAAACTCAAAATTAAATAATTTTTTCAAAATATAATCCATAATAAAATAAATAATAAAATTAGTAATAATTCACTAAATAACCCTCAATTATTTATCAAAACAATATGAAAAGGCCAATTTTATAGCTAGGAATCAATCTGAATTTTATTATATTTTTAAAGGTCAAATTGTAACTTTGTCAAATTGAAGGACCAAACTAAAAAATCATAAATTCATAACTATAGTGGAATTATGTCCATAAGTCATTCTTATTTTTGTCCAAAATCTCAAATTATACTCCAGGGACCACTCTGGAATTTTATCAAATTTTTAGGGTCAAATTATATTTTTTATCAAATGACAGAACCAAATTGAAAATATTAAAAATTCATAACTATACTAGAATTCTACTCATCATTCATCTTTTATTTTGTCTAGAATCTTAGAAAATGTTTCGGGGATTAATCTATAATTTTTTCAAAATTTAGATTTAAACCATTTCATCATATAAAGTCCATTTGAAACCATGAATTACTTTTACTACCATTTTTTTTTCTCAATTATCAATAATGCCGGCTGTTCATGCATCATCTAGGCAAGCCAGTAGTAAAAGCTATCCCACTGATGTAAACCCATATTCAGTTTGATGCATTGATTTATAGACTGTTGGCTAACCGGTACAAAAAAAGAGCTTGGATGCAAATTTAGAATAAACACAATAGTACACAAAGCAAGAAAATGCAGCAGAATAAGGGCGGCATGAAATGTTGCGGTTTTTCTGCTTGATCATCTATAATCAAATTTTTCTATTGAAGTCTTCCATGTCGCTATTGACCGCGCGTCATAACCAGCTGACTAGAATTATCCTTCCCCTCCCTCACATGGTTAAGGTTGAAACAGAGCCAACAAAAGTATTCAGGAACTAATGAAATCCAATGCATTGACAAGCATAATTACAAGCACATTAGTTAAGAATTCAATTCTAATCAGTGACAACGTGACTTTACATACTTCATAATCCATATTTTTACAGCTTTCTCAGAAACCTCTGGCTTCTTGGAGCACATTTTGCTTTGGAGTCGGCTGCTACCAAAGCTTGAACCCTGGCTTGATGATTCAGGTTTATACAGCACCAG